GGGGGTTTTTCCCCATTTTCCTTTCCCCCCCCCAGGGTTTTTGTTCGTTGGGCAGGGATTTTTAAAAAAAAGCGGATCATTTGGGGGGTTCAGAACCCGGGTTCCCCTTTTTTTTTTTCCTTTTTTTTTTTTTTGGGGAACCCAAAAAGGGGGGTGGGGTAAATTGGTTTGGGGGGGGTGGAAAACCCCCCTTCCGCCAAAGGGGGAAATTCCCCCTTTTTTTAAAATGGGTCAACCCCCAAAAAAAACTTGGGTTTTTCCGCGGTTTTCTTCCTTCCCCAGGAAAGAAACCCCAAGATGGGGAACCCCTTTACCGGGAGGCGGGCCCCCTTTCTTGGGCTTCCCGAAATCCCCCCGGGCCTTTCGCCTTTGGTAATGGGAGAGTTTGTTCCGGGGAAACCCGGGGGTGCTCCTCCCCGGTTTTGTAGGGTTTGGGGGTGGAGGTTTTAAGGATTCCGGCATCCCGGACTAGGAGTCCCCCCCCCCCCCCCCCTCCCCCCCATGAAACGCGGTGCTCCGTGTGTCGATGCCACGTCGCAACGGTGGCGGTGCAAACCCGTCGCTTGCTCAGCGCGCACCCTGTTGTACCTCAGCCTCTCTTGACATGTCCCACGCAGCCTCTCTCGATATGTCGCATGCCAAGTGTTGGGCAGCAGACGCAAGCGCCTCCAACCGTACGAAACCCCCCACCCACCTTTTCGATGTGGGCCCCGTCCCTCATTGCCGAATGGGTGTGTGTACGCTGGGCGGGTGGCGTCTACGCTCTTCTGCCTCTGGTAACCGTCCTACGATTTCACGAATACCGAAACCTCCCGACCGACCTGTAGTACATCGATATACCCAGGTCGATCCGAATAGGGGGGCAGTCTACTGCTCTTCTGAGGGCAGCCCTAGCGTGGGCGGCAAGAGGGTCGATGGCCGACGGACAGGAGACGATGAGGTCCGGCGGGGAGGGGACAACAACGCCAACTTCGGCGGTCATGTACGGAGACTTCCGGGCGGCGAAGGAGGGGGCGGAAGAGGTGAATCGTATAGTATGGGTCGGTCACGCGACAGCACCTGGTGTTGGTGCGGCAGCAGGCGTGATGTGGTTTTGGAGCAGAGGAGAGAGGTGCAAGCAGTTGTAGCGAGTCCATTGGGTGGTAGGTTTGTCTGGTCCGTCTAGTTGCCGGGGGGGGGCTCCCCTTCCCGTCGGCGGGACTGTTGTTGGTTGCACTTTCGTACGCAAACGTGCAGGCACCTCTCTCTCTCTCTCTTACTCTCTCTCTCTCTCTCTCTCTCTCTCCCTTTCTCTCTCTGTGTATCTGTGTGTGTGTTTTTTTCAAACCCATTGACAAAAGCCGGCCTGGTTTTGCTTCATACATCAAAACCCAACAACGAAATGGGCGACTCCACCTGAATACTGCTGCACCAGTCAACCATTTCGGCGTGTTTTCGGGGTTTTGCGTCACGAAAAAGCAGGCGGAAGCTCAGATTGTTCTCGGTGACCGGCCTGTGGAGGTAACCCTCAAGAGAGCCTGGGAGGCGTTATCTGTCGGGGAACGGCTCGACCTTGCCCGGAGTCTCGTGCAGCTCGCGTTTCAGAGGTCGAGTATCAGGGGGGGCGGCGGCGGGGGGGGGGGGGGGGGGGGGGGAAATTTCGGGGCCCCCAAAAAAGGGAAAAAAAAAAGGGGCCCTGGGCGGAATTTTTCTTGTTTAGGGCCCCCCCCCCGGACCGGTGTTGTTTTGGGGGAACTCCGGAATAACCTTTTCCTGGGGGCCGGGCTGCTTTGGGTTTCCTCCGGGGGAACTTTTTTTTTTACCCTGGGGGGATGCCGGGGGGGGTGGGGGCAAAACGGCGGGGACCTGGCCCCAACATGGGCTGGGGGCTGGGGGGGAACCCCCCCTCTGAAATCCGCCGGCCGAAGGGGGCCAGTTTTCTTTCCGGGCGCGCCCCTTGCCAATATCCCTCCGTTCCGCCCGTTCCCCACCCGGAAATCCTCCCCCCTCCTCCGGGTTTTCCTCCCTGAAAACATTTCTGCCCTCCCCCTTTCGGGGAAAATTTTCGGCCCCCCAAAAAAAAAACGTTCCAAAAGCCACGAAATTGGGTTTGAAGTGCCTTTGCCGGTGGTTCCCCCTTCCCGAAACACCCGCCGAAAAACCTAAACCACCG